CCAGGTACAAATGTCTTCAGCCCCTGGAGGAATATTTGGCTTCAGTTTTATTTTCTTTGTTTTGAATGCACCATTCCTCAGTGGAATGCAACATACTTGAGAGCTTGAAGGCTCCAGGATCAGCCAGAGGAAAATCAGGAGGTCTGGCATCCCACCTGTGGGGTTATTTATGACCCTCCTTGCTGCTAGGGATGCCTTAGAGCTGCTGCCGGCATGCTGGTCTTTGGGGGGACGACCAGAGCTCCGCACACGGGGTTTTTGCCCAGTTTTGGTGTGAGGACACTGGCTGATGGTTAGGAGGCCTTTCATGGTCCCCCACAGCTCACAGATAACGCTGGGGGCCAGTGACTTGCCAGCACAGGCCCCAGTACTTACTCTTGCTGCTGCTGACAGGTACCAAATCCACAGTGCAAGAGGTATTTGATGTAACGAGCCTGTGGGAATGGGGTTTTTCCCTCAACCCTGTGGTAACTCCAGGTATTTGCTCTTTTCAAGTCAAAGCTATCTGAGAAGCCCAGGGCTGAGGAGATATTTTGCACAGCCGCTCAGTGACCCGAATTGCTGAGCCGGGCTCTGCCTGGCCTCCCCTCAGAGCTAATGACCCTCTCAACCACAGCAGGCCCTGGATCTCAACCAGGGATGAGTCGGCTTCACCACAGCTGTCATCTCCAATGCTTCAAGGCTGCCTCACCCAATCTGACCCCGTGAAGTGTGTCAGACTCACCTCTCCAGACCTCTGGATGCACCAGCTCTCAGCTCAGCGCTGGTCACATCACACTGTTAGTGGGGAGCAAGGGGGTCATTTCTGCTCCTTTACCACAAACCCCATTGCGGGTCCCCAGAGAAGAAAAAAGTGTTATCCCTGGGTCACAGCTCTGCAGCCGGCTCAGCCACCACCCTCAAGGCCACTGTGCAAGTTCAGCACACACCAGCTTTTCCCCAATTCTGATTTTTTTCATTTTGTCCCCAAACTTTTCGATCAGCCCTCCACGACGTCCCTGTGCAAAGTTTTGCATGGACAGCACAGATTCTCCCTCTTCCTTTCTCGCCTTCAAGCCCTGCAGCCGCGTGGGACCAGCAGAGCAGGCAGCACACCCACATTCACACTAGAGTGAGCCAAAACTCCTCCCCAGCCCCTTGTGCTGTGGGCACAGGCATCTGCAGCTGCCCTGCACCAGGGGAGAGCGCGGGGACAGCCGGCGGCATCGCGCCCACGTGAGCCGCGCTCGGCCAGGAGCAAGGAGCTATTTCTGGAGAACCGCTTCTCGTGGAGCAGAAGCTGCAGAACTCAGAAGCACTGACCGAAAAAGAAAAGCCCTGGTGTTTTGAACGGGAAGCGAGGTTTCCCAGCCTCCCGCTGGGAAGGACGGGAGACATCCTTGCAAAAATAAGAGAGGGCTGCAGCGCTCTGTGGCAGCAGGAGCTCCAGAGGAGCTCAAAGGCCACTTCAGTAAGACCGTAAACACGCCAGATCTGCTGTTGTTGCAGAGCTCCATGAAATCGGTGATGTCTGAGCAGAGTTCAGCTGGAGAGCGCTGGTGCTATAAAAAACAAAGTGACTTTGGGCTTTGACGCTTCCTCCTGACACACAAAAAGGTGATTTGTGATTCAAAAGACAAGGAATTTATCATCAAAAGGAGCTGGGACAGAGCTCAGTGTTTACACATGGAAGAACAAGACAGGCACCAAGAGCAGATATATTTATACTCATCCATTAATAAAAGAAGCCAAGTCAACCATACCTTTGTGCTAAAGTTAGAGCACAGCACTCTGCATGTCCTTAAAAAGGCAAGAAAGTTTCCACAAACTGGGCCAGCTGCTCCCAGTGCCGGCTCTGTGCATCTCCTCCTTGGCACTCCGGCATCGGTGTGCTGCAGCAGGAAAGGGGCCAAGCGTGGTGAGGCTTCTCCAAGTGGGAAGGCTGACTCCTAGAGTCTGGTCATGGGCTGGTGGCCACTGCATCTCAGGAGCCAAACAGTCCCTGCTGCACTGTCATAGACCTGCAAGAGACGACTGCCTCTTGCCAGAAACAAAAATCCTCCAGTACACTTTCAGCTCCAGTATTCCCATTGCTTCCCTGGTTACAGGGTCACACAAGGCAAGAGCTTTCTCCTCTGCCACAGGTGACATGGGGGAATGCTGGGCTTGGCACACTCAGGCTGGCTCTGTGGGCAAGGACTTGGTTTGTGGGGCTGCCTCCACCAACCAGCAAAGGGAAGAGAAGCAGCACCCAAGGGCTCCAGGTTTGGGTCAAAGGGTCAGTGCAAGCCCAAAGTGAACAGAGAGCACCCAGGACAGAGGATGGTCCATCTCCAGTGAGGTCAGCAACAGGGCTGGATGGTGCAAGTCACTGGAAGGTCCTGGATTAGTATTTGGCATTTAGAAATGTTCAGAAATCTCTAATTGCAGCAAGTACCTTAACCCACAGCTACAGCTGGAGTTGCCTGGCTTCACCTGCTGTGCGCTGGAGAATGTTACACCAATTGGCAGGAAAGACAGAAAAGTCAACTCTCTGTTTCTTGGGAGGTGCTTCTAGAAAGCAATCAATTATCCTTCCTGACAAATAACAGATGAGCTCTCACAGTTGTTTCCCTTCTCTTCCCCCACGCAGTTCCAGCCCTCAAACCATGCTGGAAGCAGCAGGAGCCAGCACTGGACATGCTATGCCAGAAACGATCGTGTTTAAGGCGAACTGAGAACAATCACAAAAAATACATCTTGTCCAAATCAAAGTTAAGCACATTGCAGTTTTTCTTCTCCACACCCCAGTGAAACAGCTGCAAGCAACAAGCAAGCCTGGCTGCACAGGGAAGGAAACAGCTGCGTGCACACAGTGGAGCGGGGGTCACCTCTCACCTCCCAGGACACAAAGTTGTTGGCACTGCAGAATGCATTTCTCCTCGGAGCTCACGCAGAAGATGCTACAGTTACATGAACTTGACTGACCTTTGAGCAAGACACAGCATTAGATGGCCTCCACAGATCTCTTCCAACCCAAATTATTCTACAAAGTTGCAATTTTCTGCATAAAGACAGAAAGAGGGCATGCAAATAACTCTTTCTCCCACACCAGCTACTAAGCTAAGCTCTCCTATCAAAGGGATGCTCAGGCTGCTATCTCTGAGCCAGTACAGTCAATAGAAGTCCAGCAGCAAAATCCCGACAAGAAGTCAGCTTTGCTGCTGGCACAGGGATCAGGACTTCTTCCTGAGCTTTTGGGTCAAATCTCCTGATGCAGCTTGTCAGTGCCAGCCGAAGATGCGGCCCTAGCAGTCACTCCAACCTCACCCTAGAGCTCTTCTGCAAGTTCAGTTTGAATTCATAAACCACTTCCATATGATCCAAATGCTTTCCAGCAAATGTTACCATTTATTGACTCCATGCCACCCTGCAGCAGACAGGCACACTTGTGTGGCACTGAGATTTTTACTCGGCAGCCAGTCTGGTGGATCCGTACCAAACCCCCTGGTACAGAGTCCACGCCAGTCCATTGCCAAACCTCTCCCCAGGTCCTCCCTGATGACAGTGACACTGTCACTCTCAGGTAATGCTACCTGCACACACAGAAACAAGCACCATGGCTCGTGATCTCATGATCAGCTATGACTAGTGTGATTTGTCTATTACTTATTACAATTATTTACAGCTTATAGAAGGGGGAGATGATTTAAATCAGCCATGTTTGCTTCCTCAGCCAGCTTGCAGTGCATTTAAAGACACTCTGTTTCCTTTGGTGAGCTCTACTTTTGATAAAGCACATTGAGCAATGCTGAATATTACAACACTTTTACTGACTGATTAGTGAATTCCAGGATCAGCCATTTTACAGCTTTGCCTTGAAACGAGGATAGGCTGGAAGAGCTAGAGCTCCTTTGCTGTGCCTCTGAAGCCTGCCTCTGCAATACCTTTGTCCCAGCACGGCAGAGCTTCCTTTCAAGACCTTTCCCCGTTCCACTGATGCAGAATCCCTTAACCAGCTTTTCTTCAACCATTATTCAGCCCTGATTTCCAAGCATCTAATTTTAGCAGTCACTGTTGAACATCCTCTTGAGTTATTGTTAGAATGAAATGAGGATCATCTGACAGGAACATATCCTTGGTAAATACTGGGAAGGAATGCTTAAGGAGCTAGCACACCTTCCTGCATCATAATTGACAATCCTACTGCCCAGGGACACACCTTACCCCACCCTTTTTGTTCCTGGTACCTTGCATTTCCAAAAGCAATTAAAGCACCAGCCTCAACTGTACTAGGCATATTTGGCTGTATCATTTTGCTCAGTTATTGTTTCAATAATCACTTTGAACTACACACAGGGATTTATTATTTGCTATTTTTAGGATCATTTCAGTTTTAAAGGCACCTGATTACACAGATCTATATTTGCATGACATCTTTCACTGGAGGATTTGCAAGTACTACATAGAATGTGAATGAATTTCTGCTTGTCTGCAGCAACACTCCTTTTACAGACAGGACAACAGGGGCAGTGATTAAAAGACATGTCCAAACTCCCAGAGGAAATTTACACTGACACAGGAACCCCAGCTTCCAGTTGTGTGTGTTAACTATTACACCTGTGCTAGCACAGACAGAGGGAGGTTGGCCACACAGGCACTAAAGGAGATGCAGAACCATAAAAATGAAATGGTTGTCTCTCCTTCCACACTAACAGGCTCAAACACCAACTAGGCTTGGAGAGAAAAAAAAATAAAAAGCTTCTTATCAAATACCAAATACCTTCTCTCCTAATAAGAAGCAATGGGAAAGAGTGGCAGGGAAAGGTGTGGATTTTTGGAGAGGTCAGTATAGGAACAGATGGGGCTGGGATTTTGCCAGCATGACTTGCCAAGGCCCTTTATCACTGCTAAGAAGATCCAATCTCCCAGCTTGTTCTTCACACCAGCTTCCCTTCTTTGCTTTTTACCTGCCAGGGCAATGCACCAGCGAAATTCATCCAGATGTGCTGAAAAACAAACAACACAGGGGAGCCAGCAGACTGGTGTTTCTCTCTTTTATTTAAAAACAGTGCTTCATTACCATTTGCAAAGGGTTAGGAAGGGTTTCCCCCCTTGCTTAGAGTTTATAAAAGCCAGCAACATGATCAATAATTTATACACATGGATAGTAATACAAAAAAAAGGAATAAAAGCTAAAGATCTAACTACTCCAACCTTCACAATTCCAGCTACTTGATAATAATAGGAATAACCCAATGAATACTGTATGGTCTGAAAGCTACTATACAATATGATACTTAACGAGGGAGGGCGGGAAGTTAAAGGCTGTCACAAAGCCCTGGGATGCAGATACTGCTTCTCCAGAGTCAGCAGGGAAATGGGACCCTGGGCAAGCGGCTCGGGCGTCCTAGGAAATGATCCAGGGGAAGGGAACGCGTCCCACTGGGGACACGTCCTGTTCCCCGGCGGTACCTGGAACGGGAGGTGCCGGGGACACTGCGACAAGGGGCAAGTCTGTTGCTGCCATTGGAGGTGCTGTGGCATCTCAGCCTCGCACTGAAAATCTCCGAGTCTCAAAGAGATCAGCCTGTGAGGTCAGTAAAATACTCCACCAGCTCTGTATCACTCTATAGCCCTGGTTCTCATTTGCTATCAGCCCCAGGTTTTAGCTCCAGCTATTTACAAGCAGGATTTATCATATAAAAAAAAAAAACCCAAACCAAAAACCAAACAAAGCCTAACAAAAATCCCAAACAAACAAACAAAAAAGAAACCCAAGAAAAGAAAACAAAACCAAATCACATCCCCTGGGGTAAAAGAGGACGATTTTGTCACTTGATAATGCAGCCGAACTGAGCTGCCAGAACTACACACTCGCACACACAAAATACTGTGAACAGAAAAAAAATAGAAAAACATGACCAGAACTGAGACTACTAATGTGGGAGGCCTGATTTCTGTAAGGAATTTACTCCTCAGAGAAGCAGGAAGCCTCTCCACCAGCAGAGAACTGGAAATCTGGCAAGAGATTTATTGACCCACTTCAGAACATCAACAAAAATTTAGAAAGAAAAAACATTCCTAAGATTAATGGGCATTTTGCTGACTCTGACTGCCAGCCAAATGAGTATCTCGGTGGACGGCTTTAGACACCAGCAATCTCCTGGTGAAATCAGGCAAGGATTTTGGCTGATGCCTTCCTGCTCTGTCACAAGTTGAGAGGCAGCCTGGGAAGCTGGTTACCTGCACAAGCCTGGCCCAGCTGCAGCCCATGGCCTCAAAAAGACAACCATGGGCAGCACTGGCAGCCCCAGCAAGAAGCTGTCTTCCAGGGCCAGCAGTGGCAACAGAGATGGGACTTGGCCACCCCGAGAGGGACGGGGGCTCTCCTGACAGCTCCTGGCTGGAGCAAAGCACACCAGGCAGAAACCCCACAGCCTACTTGCAAAGGGCCCCATTTCATGCTCTGGCTATCAGATTCCTGCTTGCCTTGTTGACTGGAGTTTTCATTGTAGAAGAGAAGTTTACTGGGGTTGGAGGGTGGAGAGGGCAATCCGTAAGGTGGGGATGTAGGGAACAGGCTTTTCAGACATTAACATCACCAAAAATAGTGTTTTATGCAACAAAGAATCAAGTCTCACTGGTGTATACTACAAAATGTTTGACATTATCCAAGAGCATGTCAAAAATAAAAACACAAAGAAGTTTACATTGGATGTTCATCTTGTTCACTGGGTTGGTTTTTTCCCCCCCTCTCCTATTTTAAAACAGTGCAAACAGGTAAAACACTTTAAAAATCACCCCTCTACACCAAGGACAGCATTCCCCCAACCCTGCCAGGCTGGAGGGTCACAGGCAGCAGGTCCTCTGCCAGGCTGCCTATGTGCTTTCCCTTTGGAGCTAGATTCAGCAAAAGCACTCCCCAGAGCTGTTGTTTGGGTTTCCCTTTATTAAATTCCTTAAGTGCTCCCCAAACCTGTTTTCCACTTGCCTCCATCTTTGTGGCTAGGATGGGAAGATACAGATAGGGATGGGCTGGGGAAAAACATGGGTAGAACTGGGAGGCTCTGCTTTGTATTCCCCACTGACAGAGCTCTGGGTGCTGGAACTGAAAGCCCAGCAGCCAGTGTCTCTCTTCAGGCAGGGAAATGGCTTCATTAACCGTTCCACAGCCAGCACTCAAGCCAGCTACTCAGAAAAACCTCCTCAGCTCTCGCTGTACACTTCATATCCATGGATCTCAAAACAGGTAAGAACAGGGAAAAACTTCAACTCCACTTTAGGGACAGGGAAGCGAAGTCTAAAGTAGCGACATGACTGCCCCACAGGGACCCTCGAGGGGCCACTGACAGAGCCCTGTCTGAAACACAGGTCTCACTGCAGAGCCAGTGCTCCTCGCTGGGCAAGTCTGCTCCCTCTCAGGCACTGGAACAGCCAAGCCATAGCTATCTTTAAACATGGCTTTGTCTATCTGAACTCATGACACAGGACCCACCTAACTGCTTCACCTGGGAAAAGCTGGCTATAGCAGGCTCATACCGAGCTCCCCATTGCCTCCAGGTCCTGTCATGGCTTTTCTTAGAAAAGCTAACCCACCTACAACAGTGCAGCCTCCCACACATGGGGACCAGGACAACAGTTTGCTAATGTGCTGGGCATCAATATAACTTATTCCCAGTAGAGAATATGCTATACCAGTAATAGTTACTTTATACCAACACAGCTGTAACTGCAAGGAAATACAGACCAGCACATTAAATAAACCAACTCTTCAAACCAAAATTTAATCTGTATATCATCATGTGCTGGCTGGACCTATTGCAAGACAGCACAAACAGCTACACTTAGATACATTTTTTTCTCTGCATCAAGAGGAATCCCAGATGCCACCAGACCAGAAGGTGACAAACAGCAAGCTATTTGCCAGGCTGCCTGTGTGGGTTCCCTCAGAAAGCCAAACCCTGCTTTGCAAGGGACCTGTGACTGCAGACCCATCGCATGGACAAGCACTAATGCCATCATTCTAGTAAGCCAGGGCCCAGTTCAATTTATTAAACGTAATTAATTTTGCATAGGGAGATATAGGCTTTGTCTTCACTTCTTCAGGAGATGGATACAGCCACACCTTGGCTACTCTGAAAGCATCTCTAGCCAGCTCACAACACATCAGAGTGAAACGAGCTGTTGTTCACCAACAGAGAAGAAAGGCTGAAGAGCTCTCCTGTCATGCACAACACTCACTCAAGAAACCTTGCCATGCAAGTTTTTGGGAGGTCTGGTGCTTTGGACACCTGGAACCAGTGAGCTACCTCTGGCCCCCAGCCATGCAAGTGTCCCCGTGTCCCCTCTGCAGCCAGTGCTGAGAGCAGGATGCCAGGCTATCAGCAAGCTCCCTGAGGGAATCTTGCAGCATTAACTCTGGAGCCACAGAGAACTGGCTGCTTAATGCACCAGAGGAGCCCACCAGGGAGGGACCAGAGCAGGCCAGGCTCGGATACAGGAGGAATCAGGCTGGATGGTCTTAGAACAGGTATTACTCGGAGACTGGGGGACCACAGCCCCCCAAAAGTTGGGTGCTTCTGCACTAAACCCCTCACATTCCTAATATACTTGGGCGGGCTGAAGCTGCCATGCATAGACTCTGCCAGGAGGCAGAAATGGGGCTGGCCTCCCTATTCCCAGGGAGGCCAAGTGGCAGGGGGGGATTGCAGGTGGCACTGCCAGGGCAGGGGAGGGCACTCAGGGTGGGAGAACCTGGCTTTTGGGGAGCTGCAGTCAGAACCAGCTGAACTGAATGTGGGAGGGGCAGGGGGGAGCAGCTGCCCCAGCGGGGCTCTGCAGATGCTCCTGGCTCACAGCCTGAGGAACTGCCTGCAGGAAGGGAAGGGACGGCCTTGCTCGGGCCCTCCATCCACAGTGGGGAGAACAAATCCAGTAGAGAGGCTTTTGCTGCATCCCAGCTCCAGAAGTCCCCTGGCTGCTCTGCAGTGGAAATAAATCCCCTTGAATATGACTATCTCTACCACAAGTCCTCCCTCTTCTACCCCAACTCAGGCAGTAAAAACCCCCAAACATGCCAAGTCTCCCTTGTTTCCTAGATTTTGTGAAAGCCCCAACACCCTGTTCTCCCCCTCCCTATTTTCAAGCTAAAGTATTTATATACAAACAACAAAAAAATTGTCATAACAGCAACAAACCAAACTTTGGCTTGGGAAAAAAAGAAAGTAAAAAACCAACACTAAAACCAGGAAAAAAAAAAGGTGGCCAACAGGCTGGCAGTTTGGTGTCCCCTTTATCTAGCTATTCCTCCAGAAAAATCAATAGCTTCAGGGTCTCAAGCTTAACTAATGGCGTCCCCATTCTTCCCATCTCTGCTGTGCACAGAGAGGCTCCATGTATCACTGGGGAAGAGCAAAAAGCGTGTGGTTGTGTGTGGCTGGACCAGGACACTCCCTCAGGAGCAAGACCTCTGCTTGCTGATGTTGCTTAGTGTTAAATGCAGGAGTTCTCCTATTCTGTATCAGTGGTGGATGGAAAAGCAGGTGTTCAACAGGAGCTGGAGAGGCTCTGCCAACAAATCCAAACTCTGAGCTGCCCTTCTGAGGGCAGTGGCTCACCCCAGCACCAATCCACGGAGTCGAGGCAGCCCGGGACAATTACACTTCTGCATCTCTCCAGCATGTGATTAGAGCCTGCCTCTGACCACCGGCTTTACTGGGAGCACTCCAGGAGCCAGCAGTTGAACAGGGAAGCCTGGAGAGCAGCAACTCCCATCACATCACAGCTTACAGTCATCTGAGTGTGCTGTCTTTGAAACACAGCGAATTCTCTGTCTGTGAGAGCAGAAGGGAGATGGTCTTGGGAGTCGTGGACCCCTCAGCTAAATAGTTTCTATCCTTCCAAGTCTTCTAATATGTAGTGTCTATATGGACTCAGCAGACCAGGTGCACAACATTCTGTGAGAAGCTGGGCAAAACAAACCCAGGGGCTCCAACGCAGCTATGGAAGGGCCTGAAATAGCTTGTGGTAAGAAGTTCCTATGAATTCAGAGCTTGCACAAACTGCTTCTGCCAGATACAAAACTACTTCAGGATCACATGTAGATATAAAAGATCCTCTTCCCCCACACAAATGCACATGCCTGTCCCTCACCTCAAGCAGCTTATGCATGACTGGTTTTTCCTCACTCATGTTATTTGAAACAGATTACTTGCAGAAGCACCTAAGCAGCCCAGGATGAACAGGGGCAGAACCCCTGCACACTGGGCCTCAGAGCATGTGCCACGCTCAACTCTTCTGCTCGCTTTCTTCCTCTGCAAGGCTGCAGGTGCTTCACCTCCCCAAGGAATCACTTGCTGTCCACAACAGAGGTACTCTGCATGATCCTGCACTGCATCCGCCACTCCTCGAGGAACGAAGGGGTGGAAAGGGACAGCAAGAGAGAAAGATCTTCAAAAGGAGGAATGAAAACTATGACAATTACAGCCACCTGCAGCGGACAAAAATCACTGAGTAGAAGTTCTGTGTGTGGGGAAAAGATCATCCTTAACAAAAACTCCTTTCAAAGTCTTATCCCCTATAGAGCAGGTAACAGCTGAAGTCTTTGGGCAGGTTGAGGGACTCTTCTCTTGCGAAGTCTAAAGTTCTGACACTGCTGAAACTGTCACAAACCTGTGTGCGTCAGATGGTGATAGAAACAAAGAAAGTCTCTGCATTTCCCCCATTTCCAAACGTAAATGACTATTTCCCACCAGCATTCAGGTCCCAGCCACAGCCAAAGAGTGCTTCCTTCTGCAGACCAGAAACACGGCAGGTGGAGACTTCTCCCTCACGTCCTCCTGTCTCACAGGCACCAAGCACCAGACCCAGGGAAGTAACTCTGTCTGCATGTTCCTGATTAATTGCATGATATCAGTTTCTAACAGCTTTCCTTATCGCTAATCGCCTTTTCCGTGATTGGTAGGATAAGCTATGCACCAACATACAGACACGGAAATGCATTATTTTTACCACAGTTAAAAAAACCCCAAAAATGAAAACAAAAAACAAACAAACAAAAAAAAGCACAATCTTTGGAACAAAAGAATTAAAGGCAGAAATTTAAAGGAAAAAAAATACATATTCGAAGAACATAGTGAGGTATAAAAAAGTATTTTCTCTTTTGTTTTTTTTTTTTGTTTTTCCTCCTCGACTTGCTATAGAGTTCCTCTACTAGTAAATATTGCAATAGCCAGGCCTCATGAACTGGGGGGGCTGTCCCGCTTGCAGGGGGCTCACGTCACTTCAGTAGGGGGCAAATCGGCTGTAGCCACCTCGGTATAAACTCGCCTGTAGAAATGAAACGGAAGAAGAAAAGGTTGTTAGGAGGAGAACTGTGTAGAGATATGCAGGACAGCACCCAAATGCTTCTGGAAGGACCTGTCCTGGCACTGACCCACCACCATCAGCACCTCTAAGAAGCAAGAGAGAACTCTGCCTGCAAAACCAAAGATGTGGCTCAGGAGGGCATGCTCATGGCCAGCCAGCTGGAGGTGAAGTTTGGCAAGTCTTGGTGGAAGGAAATTCAGTACCAGAGAGGGGACTCACCAGTCCTAATCTCAAGCCAGTTGTCCAGGCTGCCTTTAGAGACTGCGGAGACCAGAACTTCTAGGATGCTCTTCACCTCACCTCAAGGTAAAGGTCTAAAATAGATATGATGACTGGGTATCCTAAAATTATCTGGTTTTCCCTCATTGACCCTAAAGAGAATCCACATGATGAGCTGAGGCTGAAATGGAGGTGCTACACTGCAGATATCTATTTTTCGGTGTCTTTTTTCTCTGAGCACATTTGTATTCCAGCCTTTGCAACAACATAGATACTGCACTGGCTAGCAGATGGGCAAGCATGTGTTTTCAGCAAGCTGCTCCACTCCCCTCCGATGCCAGCATACCTCATCCTGCCCTTGCGTAACTACTGCTGGCAGGCAGGACACTGCATCCTTCCACCAGTGCAAGAGGGAACCAAGTGAAGCAGCTTTGCTGCAAGATGTTACAAGAACAACTTATTCCCTTGCTTCCTAGAACTGAAAATGGCAAAAAAGGGTGTGCTGAATCTCTAACTATTGCTGATATTTGCTCTATGTATCACCTCGATACAGTTCTACTGATTCATCAATAGTGTTCTGGCTCCTGGCAGTTCTGTCTGCTATTGATTTCATTTCTTATTGTACTAGATGATGTACGAGACCGAGCAATCACTGGTCTCCTACAGCCTGGTTCCTTCCTTAGTGCGCACATAAATATGAATGCGGAACAACTGGGAACCCAGCACTGCTGCTAAGGACCTCCTCCCTCAACAAAAGTTTTTCTGGGTGGGTGAGGGTTCAGTGCCTGATACCCAGTGGCTGTTCCCCATGCTGGAAATGAGAAACAGCACAAGAAAGAAAATCCCACTTACCACAGCGCCAACTCCGTAGCTAGCGGCAGGGGCAAGGGCATGGTAAGGATCTGCTGTGTACACCCTGCCATAACTGAAGAGAGGGAGAAAAGATATAAAAGAAAAAACAAAGTCACTCGGGAGGGGCAGAGTAACAGCTCTCTGACCACAGGTGATGGAAGCAGCAGCATGCCCTTGCACACACATGTCTGCATCCATGCACACACAGGCACGCAGGCAGCTCCTCTGCAGAGAGATCCTATGAGCATGCTGCCATGCATTGTATGAGATGGATGAGAGAACGGCCTGCCAGGAGGAATGTGGCACAGGCCATGAGCCTGACCTGCAGGAAAGAGGTCAGCACCTTTGAAATGTCAGCCAGCGCATCCCTTACCTTTGGGTAATTGCGTGATGCAATTAGGGACCAGAGGGACTGCTGGCACTAGAGCTACTGGTAAAGAGGTCAGCACCTTTGAAATGTCAGCCAGCGCATCCCTTACCTTTGGGTAATTGTGTGATGCAATTAGGGACCAGAGACTGCTGGCACTAGAGCTACTGGCACAGTAACAGCTGCTAAATGGAAAGCAGTGAGGGATTCTCCACTATGAGAGGAGTATAAACTTTAATATGCTAGGATTAAAACATGGCCTCATTGCACAGGCAATGAAAAATCTCAAGGCAAGCACTCTGATGAAGACAATCCTTTGTATCTATTCAGAGCTGCATGCTAAAGCATCCTAGAGCACTGCATGAGCTGAGTCATCTTTACTTTATGAGGGGGAGAGAAACGCACCCAGTGATTTAGTAGCCTGCCCAAAGCCTGATCTCTGACTCTGAGGCTGTAACCACACTGCCTGCTTTGTGCAGAGGAGAATCACAAGGACAGGGAAGAGGTCAGGATTTGTGCCAGCTCACATACACTAAGAGCAATACTGTCCAGGAGCAGAGACAAACCGTGCACTCAAGTCTTCTGTGTTGGGAGGTGCATGCATGTGTGCACATGCGAGTGCAGGTCAGACAAAGAGATGGGGCAAAGAAGCAGAAGTTCTGTGATGGATCAATGCTCCTTGAATCCCTGGGCACAGCAAGCTAGCCCCCATGGACACCTCTCCCTTACATACCCATCGCTGTAAGCTGCTGCAGCGGCTGCAGCGGCCGTGGCTGCTGTTGCAGTAGCAGGCTGTGCATATCTGTAGGCTGCATATCCACCCTGCAGGAGAGAAGAGAACTGACTTTACAGATACCTGTCCACCCATGGAGAGCATAAAAAAATATTTTAAAAAAGTCACACACATCACAAGGAGAGGAAGTGTTTCAAACTGCATCAGCTCCCATGTCATGTCTATCACAAGCATCACCCACTATCTCACGTATATTCCTTTCCCTAGAGGGACCAGGGAGGCCCTTCCATTATCCTCTTGAGCAAAAGGAATACACTAAAGGAAAACTGAACATTGTTACAACCCTACAGAAAATGCAATTTGGCATGGAGGAAATGGAAACCAGGAAAGATCCGGAATCTTGCAGGCAAGATAATTTCTATGGTGGCCTCTTCCTCTTAAGGAGGGGAAATCAGAGGTGGACACTTTCTATTAAGTATTTTAGAAAGGGAATCATTCAGAGAAATTCCTTCTTCTTTTTTTACCCTCTCTCTTTTACAGCCAGGAAAACCCAAAGGGCTAGAATTTAATTTGGTCCACATGTGCAAAATATCAGTAGTCAGAGGTGGTGAAAAGTAACCAGGAAAAGATGGTCAGAGAAGACAGTCCCCATTGGTTTCTGGGCTGTCAACAAGCAAACCAATATTGAGGCCAGCCAGACTGTTCTCCCCTCCTCTCCATATAAGAATGAAACAGGTCAAGAGAATTATGCCAGAACAGTCTGTTCTGCTGCTGTATTTCTGCCCATGCTACACACCTGTAGCAAAGGTGATCAGAGGTAGTGACTAAAAATGTAGTTAACAGCTGTGTTGTCAAAATGTGAATTCTGACTCAGAGAAGACCTGCAAGTCTTCTGGAACTCCCACAAGGAGCTCTTGGGGCAGAGCAAGGCCAGCCACCTTTCAGATCAGGGACAAAGGTGGCATAGCAGGCAGCAAATAGGGCTCTGAAGCCTGGTTACATCTTTATTGCATTTCTGAACACTTTTTTTAACTTGGGGTGAAGGCTTAGTAAATGAACCATAGTTTTAACTTCCTAGAAACACAGTGAGCCATAAAAAAAAAAATCACAGAATTCCAGATTGCTTCTGGCTTTTTCTTTTTCCTTTTTCTTCCAATTGACATTTCAGGGTTTGAAGGACCAGAAGGCAGAGTTACGCTCTTCACCTCCAGAATCAGCTCAACATACCTGTACCACTTCTTCCCTATATATCTTTTGCATATGTGGAACTAAGAGTACAAGATCAGCTCCACTACAGAACTTTGTCTTTGCTCAACAGTGCTCAATCTGGACCTGGGTATCTTTTAAATTAGAAGTAATGATTTAATGATTTTAAATTAATATTGGTTTCTTTCATGTGGCCTGCATTAGCTCTGTGAAGGCTGATGTGCTATCCAAAACATGCTTGCAGACCCTTTCCTACTCCAGAGAAAACGGAGTTGCAGCCTCTACAATCTTCTAGTTAACAGCAGAAAAAGCAACACAGATGTGAAAAGCAACACCTGTGAAACATCACCACATGGCCTGGAAAAGATGCCATGTTACAGTTTAACCCTTTTAATCCCAGCTGGCTGTTTCAAATCCTGCATTTTGGATTGACAGTTGGGGATGTTTAGCTTGGTTTTGCCATGCTATCATTGTACCACCATGTAAAACATGACAGAGGCCAGAGGAATGAAGTGCAGCCTTAATCCAAATCCAATTTTCATTAGCCTCACCAAATTAAGACAAAACTTTGTATCAATGCCATTGCAGTATTCCCCTTAGGCTAAATGCTTCCTGAACCCTTCGTTTGCCACTTGGGCACAGTGTAGGAGGCATTTTCTCCAGGTACTACCCTCTGCAGGGCAGCTGGCCTTAGCAGGCACCCGTGATTCCCACTCTGCCCCACACTTCCACACTTGCCAGTCACATTTCAGACCAGAAGCTGCTTCAAACGTGCCTGGCACATACTCTGAACATGACAGCAAGATGCAGTTTGAAACCAAAAAGGCTTATCATATAATTGTCTTTTAACTCATGTCTCTCATAAAGGAAAACAAAACAGAACAAAACCAAACCAAACCAAAAATAATCAAAAAAACAAAAAACAAAGAAACCAAAAATAAAGAAGAAGAAAGAAGGTTTGGAATCAGGTGTGGGAGGGGGAATGGAGTAACATTTATTAATCAAAATTAAAAACTAAGCATGCTGACATCTGGAGCTAGAACAACCAGCAAAGTCACCACGTTCAGACTCATATTGGCTAGTTCTATCCATCCCAGCATTCTCTTGGGACAGCAGTTCGCCCTAGGCTCTACCACAAGCTCAGTGAAGTACACAGCCTCAAGTACTAGAGCGTGCAGCCACAACAACCTGCTATTACGGAAACAGTCAGTCACCACTGGAGTTAACATTCCAACCTCAACGACTCCCCAGCACCGCCCTCGCCCCCCAGGATGGCTCCCACCCTAGCCCTGTCCCACACCACAATGTTAATAATTATAACAAGCAATAACCCATCTGTTATATCAGAGAAGGGAACAGAGACTCCACTGAGAGATTTAGAGCGGGATGTTAACATTTCTTCAGTCAACTGCACAACAAACAAAAAAAAAAGAAAAAAAAAACAACAACAAAAAACAGGAGAAATAATTCATTGGAGAAATGAAGTTAAGAAATAGCTGACGTGTATTGCTTTTAACCATGCACTGATGCAAACTGAAGCTACTGGTTATTTTAAAAAGGAAAAAAAAAATCTCAGGATAGAGGTACACACGTACAGGCAGACCTGCTCATTTCAAAGCAATCTGCAAAGTCTACTTATGTGTACTTCAAATAAAACCAAAAATGGGGATCATAATGGCCATGGTGCATTCCTGTCAGAGGAGCAATGAGTGTGGACAGCTGGGAGATTTCTGAGACAGGATGTATTTAGCATGACCGGCAGGTCCAAACACACCAAAATAGGGTGAAGGAAAGAGGAAGAACTGTTGCAACTACAATTTGTTTTTATATAAATCCTTTCATCAAACTCTGGGACCGTACAGAGCAGGCACTGTACAGGTTGCCTTACCCAGCTGATGCTCCTGTTCTCCATTACCTAGGATCCACCTATATAATTCAATAAATGCATCTAAAACCTGTTCAGCTTGTCCAATGCACCAGATATTTTCTCCTGCTATTCCTGTTCACACAAAACTTATAACTGATATGCAGAGCTCATCTGCAAGGTCCTAGGACCCCTAGTGATTTCTGGTGCTACCCACTTTAGGTACTCCAGTAAATAAAAATTGTAACAGCATAGAGCATCTGCAACCACAGTAACAAAGAGGGAAAATGTTTCCAAATGAAAGAAAGAATTATTAAAAAAAAATTAAAAAAAGAGAAAGGGAAAAAAGGCCCTTGCCAGCTTCAACACATTCCTTCAGTGCCACAGCCAAACTGCAGCAGAAGAAACCAATGAGTGGCATAGTGCCTGAAACTCAGGACAGCCATGCAAACTCCCACTCCACCTGTTTGGTTCCACAGGGACAGGTTACCCATACAGGTTCAGTTTTTAAAAATCTTTAGTCTCTTCTCAAAAGAAGTAAGTGTAGCTGAGCTTCTTGTGAAGATGTTCTGTCTGAGATATTTCTGTCAATGGGACAATTTAATTACTGCCTCCATAAGGGAATGGGAACTAGTGAGAAGGCTTATGCATTTTCACTGGGCATTAAAAACAACCAAAAGGACTGTGCAAATTAAGATTAGCCCTTTTTGGTACAAGCTTTTGGACTGTCTAGGGACCACGTGACAGAAACAAACACCAGCCTAAATGCTGCTTATTTTGATTCAAGCTCTCTTTCTCTGTCTATCTGGCATTCCAGTCTTGCTGGGGCTATACTGGATCCCTTTCCCCATGTAGTGCTTGAGCCTACAGACCTGAGCTGTCCAACAGCTGTAGTGCTTGGGTATGAACAAAATCTCGTATTTAAAACTATTCTTCTGTGATGTTACTGTCCTTGGCTCATCAACAAAGCAATATTTTAACTTTAAATTTCTTCTTTAACATTAGGCAGCTTTTTCAGTATTGTCTTGTTTTCTGAATGACAAACATGGGAAAACAACACATACAGGAAGCTGCAATCCCAACTAAAGCAGCATTCCAATTACTGAGTATGTTAATGAAAATAAATTAGCATTTTATGTGGTTCAGCTCAAGTACATCTTCTCCTCAACTCTTGAAGTCCGTATCAGGTGATCAATCCAACGAGAGCAAGAGGAAATCCAAAACTACAGCTTACTATGCCAGTGTGGTATAAATCTCCCTTTTCTTCTTCCCTTCCTGCCTTAGAAGGGCACACAAAGTATGTCACTGCCCTCTTTACTCCAAAGAGCCATTCTGCCCCTAGGACACAAGTGTGTCCATAACCCCAGAGAAACATGGAACTCATGGTACCAGTTAGGTACATTTTAATGCTTGCCAGGTTCAGGCAGCGAGCCAAATTTTAGGGTCTTTTATTTGTCATCTCTCAGATGTGTCTTCTCCACCCCCATACTTCCATACAACAGAAGTTAAGAAGCAGAAAGGGCTAGAACCGCTTCTGGTATTTCTGTATTAGAAGGGTGGCATACGTGCACCAGGAATGAGCATGAATGAATTAGAAGAGGTGACAGGACAACAGTGTCCATTGCAGCAAGTGCTTCTACATGGTAATGGGACAAGCATGACCTTGTTAACCTTTCCACTGAATTAAAGTTTTGTTGGTTTTTAGTTTTTGGTTGGTTTTTGTTTGGTTTTTTTGAGTGAAATGCCACTTGGTATGAAATCTGGACACACGCCACCCTGCTACAGCGGGGGCTTGGCTCACACGTGAGTCTGCGCTGCTCTAAAAAAGCCTCTGTTCCCATCTCTAATGTGGTGCTGGAATGGTTAGTATAATTCAGTTTTTTCCACTGCAATCCACAATCTGATTGGTTGGCAGGTCACACTGGCACTCCTACCTGAGGTATTTTAGCGCTAATGATTGGTTCCTGTAAGACTATTCTATAACAGAACACAGGAAGAGCAGTTCAAAAAAACACAGCTGTGGAAAGAAACAATCATACATACAGCCCACAGCGGGGCTCACCAGCCTTTTCTTTCCAGTGGATGCAAGCACGCTTTTCACAGGCAGGAGCAGTCTTTGCACAGGTGGGTTTGTTTGGGTTTCCCCCCCCGCCACCCAGATTGACCCCATTGTAGAAGAAAGATAACCTTTCTTATGATCCGAAATGAAGCCCTCTGCATCCTGGGGCAGGTTGTTTTATCAATTCAGGTGTCTTGCCAGAGTGGGACGCATCCAACAACAGATGGAATGCCTTCTTCACAGAAGAAATGGCTAGCAGGATGGTTGCCCCAGGAAAGAAAAAAGGAGTGAGGAAAAGGAGGAGGAGGAAAATGAGAAATCGGTGCATAGCATCGGTGCAGAAAAAGCAGCCCAAACTTGGGACACTTCCCTTTCATCTCGCCTAGCATTAACCACTCCCTGCCAGCTCAGCTCCTTTTCACAACCCTATGGACTCACAAGTCTTAAGAGAACCTTGATTTAACTTTCCCCCAGTCCTAACTGAAATGTCCTCTGCCATACCTTCTGGAATCTGGGTAAACCTATCACAGCAACCAGAGGGATAGAAGCGCTGCAGTGAAAAGCACAACAAATCAGTGACACACAGGGACACTGAAGTCATTCCACCTGTGCCAAGCAAATTGTTTGGAAGGGCAACTTCAAGTTTGGATAATGATAACTGAACTCCATTGGAGGGCTCTGGCCAGCAATAACCAGGAAAAGCACCACCATCCACTTTGATGCAGCCCTCTCTTCCATCATCCTGCCTTCTGACAGTGACAGCACTGCCACCAACAGCAAAGGCATCAGAAATCCACCTAATGGTTCTAACCTGACCTGGGGGCTTGGCTTTGTGTTACGTGGTGGTACTGCTCTGCAGCACCAGGTGGTTATGGGTGTTCTCCACTGCTGAAGTTTCTGTCCTTACATGTTATATAAGCCTCTCCTCCAAAAGCTCTGAAGAAGCTTTCTCAAAAATAAGGAGTAACCCTGGCCAGACTTCCCTTTCAACATGGCAGCCTTTTATATGCCACACTCTGTGGGAAGAGGCACTAAGCACCATTCATTTTCTTGGTTACATGCCATAGCAAAGTCAGTGTCTGTAAAAGTAGTGTTTTAGGAGTGAGGCAGGAAAACACAGAACCTTCTGTAGTCCTTGACACAGCTTTATAAAGAAACACTTGACTAGGCAGATCAATCTTTAAAGGACTGCACACACAATAGTGTATGTAAGAGTGAAGAAATGTACACAGTTCTCTCTATGTCAGACAGCACATCTTCCAACTGCTCTATCTGGGCTGGAAAAAACACCTGTCCAGAACCTGATCCTCCATATAAGCCAACAAAACCCAAAAGCTAGTTTCATCCATTATCCTGAGTCTAACCCCAGGGTCCTCTTTATAAATGTCAGGAAAGGCACCTTCAAAGGAGCAGGACTGTGAAATTTGTGCTGACAATTGCGTCCCTACCCAAATATACAAAACTTGCCAGCTCCAGAGAGCTATGAGCTACAATGCCACAATTGGGAACTCTGATAAAGCCAGGCAGGCTATGAGTTGCAGTGGCAACAGAACATTTTGGCTTTGAAAGGCAAGTTCCTACCATATTCCCACTCTGCAACAGCTCTCCCTTGGAGAGGAAAGCACTTTTCTCACTAGCCAGTTCAAATACCTCCATCCACAACCCACCTATGTACACACAGACTCCCTGGAGATTTGCAATACAGACTGACTGGGTAGGACAAAGACAATGACAGGACAAAGTCTCCCGTGGTATAAGAGCTAATTCCCAAACAGGAGGAGGCTGCTGACTCTTGTAACCAAACACCTCCACATATTTGTACTTTACAATTCCCTGAAGAGGTGAGAGACTCTAGCCTATTTAGGTGCCATTCCTACCAGCAAAATGAGATGTCAGTTTTCCTCTAGCATCTCAGCCTCCATTTTTAATCAGTCCCAGTGTCTTCCCCAAAGGGATAATCTCCACATCCCAGTGGCACACGGACATTTTTAAACATACAACTTGTTCAGTGTAGTGTGGGCTACACAAATCAAACCCGAAAGGGCCCCAAGAGGGAAGAGAAAGGGGAGGGAAGAGGGGGAGAAGGAAAGGAAGGTCTGAGGCTAAACCAGTCCTGTTATTTTTATATCCAAATTATGTAAATGAGAGAAGTGTTGAGAGAAATTTTAATTTGCTAATCATCTCTCAGATTGATTAGTACCAGTGTGCATATGGGGGACAGGACACCCAATAAACTGACCCTGGCAATGATCAGGAAACCCAAAGGCTTAGGTCTTGCACCCAGGGGCAAGCGCAGTGACAGAGAAGCATGCTTGCATTCCTAAATATATAAATATATATCCACAAGGAAGAAGAAAATTAAAGTAAATGATATTTAAAAAACCAAACCAAACGAACAAACCAAAAGAAAAAGAAAAGAAAACAAAAAAAGGCTGGCTTGTCAGGGGTTGGGGACAAAGAAGGCTCCGGTGTGTGTACTTACATAGAGGTCAGCACCGTAAAATCCGTCCTGGTAAACCACACTGCAGAAAATCCACACAAAAACAAAACAAAAAAAAAGAAAACAAAACAAAACAAAAAAACAAACAAAAAACAAAAGAACAGAAAACACATTCCGGTTATTGAGGACGGCAGCATGCACATGCGTTTTACACAGGCAGGTGATGTATGAATCCACAACCTGGGCTTTTGGCAGGAGCAAATCAGCAAGAGAACGTGTGTGCGCACGCACGGCTCCAAGTCATCTTCCATGGCATGCAAAGGGGGAAGGGGTGGGCAGAGGGGGAGACAGTATGCAAAGGAGAGACGGAGGGGAACCACCATCTTGTACAGTAAATATTGACTCAAAAAGATCTGACATCCTGAAGAGAGACACAAGGGTTTAGAAACCTCCACTGTCGGTTGTTCTCCTGGAATGATTTTAGTTACCCCCTAAAACACATGGAAACATTGGCTTCATGAAGTGGGCTTGTGAAATTGAGGAGCCCTTCACAGAAGGCATCCCACAGGGGCTGGAGTCACCTACATCAGGAAGTGTGGTTCAGAGACTTGTGCCTGATTACATTTTTCAGGCTTCACAGGGCTCCATGACTTTTGTTTCTGACATCCATACATCACCTGCTTTTACCCTGCACATTAGACATGCGATAAGATTTGGCTGATCACACAAGCATGCAAAGTATTATTATTCAGCATCTTAAAGAACCGATGCAACACCTCAGGAAAACAAGTCAATCAATTCTGATCAAAGTAAACACAGAGAAATGTAATTGAAAAGAAAAAACCAAAAATACCCACAATGCATTGCTTTCACAAGCAGAGATAATGAGCTAAAAAGGTTAGGTGACTGGTCCAAGATCTGAAAATTGAAAGGTGCAGTGGGAGTCCCTGGTAGTAATTACTTATTCCATAGCAGAGAGGAGCAACTGGAAGGGTTTCCATGGGATGGTGCTTTTTCTGCTTTAAGCCATAGTTTTGTTTCTCTCAGAACTTCAAGCACAAGAACTGTTAAACAGAGCCTGGGGTTCCCAAATAGCTTCTCTTACCAGAGCACTCACTAGCATAAGACTACACAGCTCACTCTGGGGACAGGGGTTGGGGAAGGATGAGGAAGGAAGAGAGGGGATGCCCCCCACCCATTTGAGTTCAGCGTGTGCTTCACATACTGAGGAATTTCCTCCAGTTTTGTCCTCTGAAGAGCTCCACACAAACTTGCTCGAGGCTTTAAAAAGCATTAATCCCACCATCTGCAATGTTCATGACTTACCCATAGCATTAAGAAAAAAGAAGGTATGGAACACTAGCTATTCTTTTGACTATCATTTTTTACTCATCAGATGGAATGTGAAATGCTGCCAAGAGCCTGCCACCCTCAGACACCCACCTATTGTAAGGCACACACACACAAAAAAGCCCAGCAGATCTTGCCAAAATTCTGCATGCTATTACTAAAAAAATAAAACAAAAAAAAAATCTTGCAGTGTTAGCTACTGCTTGAATAATTTAGTCTTGCTGCCTTCCCCAGGAAAAGTACACTCCATTCCCAATGGACAAAGTTACTGTAGTCTCCAAGAGCGCTGGGAGCAGGTATGAAGATAGAGACCCTTGTTAGAGGAAGAGGGGAGCCACTTCAGCAGGGAGAAGCAGGCCATAAGATCATGTTTGTTGAAGCTATATTTTTACAACCACATAACAAAGAGTTTGGCTCCTGGGGCAGTGACTTACATTGCTGGGTTCTCTATCTAGGACCAGGAGTGTTTTAGCAGTGATACTCCACCTGCTCCTGCAGGAAAGGCAAACGCACGACAGAGGAAGTGACTTGGTTTATGAACAGGTTAGCAGTTTTAACAGTTATTCTAAACACAATCAGTTGGATGAACATAAGCATTACCACATTGGATCAGGCCACTATTTCTATCAGCAAGAGATGCTAGCATCAGCCTCCAGAGAAAACTGCAAGGAACACTAATAAAAGGTAAGAGTAAGAGTTCCGGGATCCAAACACCCAAATGCACATGAATCCTCCATCTCTGCTTTTGTTAGGACTTCACTGACATCAACTTCCAGGGCTGAAATTTAGCAAGGTTTATTTATATGGTAGAATATCCATATTTGTGATTCTTAATGCTAGCAAAACCAGAGAATTCCTTCATCTGAGAACCATATTCCAGTTATGTAGCTTGACCAGAAGTATAAAACAATCTGGCAGCCAGTCAAATCTTGGTGCAATCTGTGAAAAGTCTACTAGCTGTGCTAAAACATCCAAGGGAAAAAGAAACAGGCTGGTTTTGTAAAGTAGCCAGCATAACATTTAGGTGTACCAACAGCTGACTGTTGTGTTGGAAAAGGAGCAAAAAACCCACTTCAAACCCTCAAAGCTGTCTGCTGCCTTGTATCTAGTCTTCTATCTACTATGGCTTCAAATGAGTGAATCTCATATATATTTACACTCCTAGATGAAATTACTCTTTACTATGGCAAGTCTATTATTCATATAGGTACTTAATGACCATGCACAAGTCAATGACTAACCTATAGTTTGAGAAATAAAATTTATCAAGTTTATTTAACTTTGAGAGTTTTACGGTAGGTGAGTTTTTTTCAGAGTGTCTGAATTCTTTCAGCTTTTGGTCTGAAGTGTTATTTATATAGCATTTATATTAGCATTCTCATTTTAAAAGCATGGCTGCTACAAATCAGGGCAATATTCCAGTACAGTTTTTACTTGTGCTTTATATCAGAGTAATAATGTCTTCTTATTTCTACCAAGTGGCACCTCAGTTAAAACTGAAGGTTGCATTACTGTTCAAAGTCAGATTTAGGTGACTATTTAACTCACCTACAATAGTCTAAGCAGTTGCTTTCTGAGGTATCAGAACTCTTCTTTGGATAAACAACCAAGGCCATGCATAAGTATGGGCATTCCACATATGCATTAGCAAATCCTGAGCTCTTGAAATAAATATTAAAACTATTAAGAGCTGTGATTTCTTGCATCTTCCTCTGGTTTAGCATTTGACACTGTCAAAACTTATTCTAACCTGGATGGTGCTCAGGTCTGATCCAGTATGGCAATACCAATGAGCTTTCATTAATCTACATTCTGTATTTTTTAAATTCTGCTAAGCTCTCAAATGCAATGATACCATTAAGTTTTGTAACTTAAACACCACTGAGGTTTGGGAAAAGAATTCCTTCTATCAGGTTTGAGTTAACCTGCAGCTTACTTTACTGTCTTCTTCCACATTACTCACTATGTCTTGGTCATTCATGTTGCTGACTGATCTTATGGTGTCATCTTTCCACTGGCCAGGAAGAAAGTAACCGATGGAGGGCAAGATGTCAGGAACGTGTGCCTTCCATGACCCCGTGGAGGTCAACAATGCTCACACTGAGTGGTGGCTGTCCTACAGGTTACTGCAGCATGGAATTGAACTGCACATTTTGTATTATTCCACTAGGAATCCAATTTGTTCTATACAGTATCTTGCAGAGACTCAGACTATGATGGCAAAAACCACCAGTAGTAGTTAATTACATCCCAGTGATTGGGACTAGGGACAGTTCTGGGCCTCTGTGAGTCTGCCTTGCTTACTGGTGCCCTGTAAATGGTTACTAGGTAGTATGCTGCCCATGAAGACATGGGATCAGTCAGCAGGTCAGAAAAATTCAGTGTAATACCAGTAAACACAGATATGAGACAGTATTTGGAAGGGCTAATCACTGAAGCCTGGCCCATATTTCAAATGAAAATAAACGTTTTACATGGGAGTCAGGCTGGATTTACATCAAAGACAAGGCCTTCCCAGTGCCCCACTCATGACAGCCTCTGGCTAGGAATGCTCTAGCTGTTACTACCAGGGATGAAAAGCACATTCCCCCTCCCTGGTGCAAATATTTCATATTCTGCTAGATGGTAGCACTTAGCTTTGCTGCTTTGTTTCACTGTGGAGCACTCCCCAGTAAAATTGGACTGGGCCATTTTTAGAGCAATAGACAGACATGTTACAGGCCAGAGGCTATGGTTAGAGGACAGAGAATGTAAACTAGGAGTGGTGGCAAAAAAGTGGATTTGAAAACCCAGAAGAAACACTCTGTTCAGAACATTTAGACAAGAGGTTTCATTTAAAGTCTTCTGGTGAACTAAATACAAACATTGCCAAAACTGCCAAAGAGCAAAGCTAGACAGATACATGAGCACTGCAGCTTGCTTCCTGGAGCTCCACTTCAAATATGAGACTAGACTCTAAAAGGGTCACAGTAGCTCTCTTCACTTAATCTGCCACAAAGGTATTGTGAGCTTATCCAGCATAGATCAGGCCAGCTCCCTGCACTGATTTGTATGGATGCCACTTTCCTTCTTAATAAAAGATTTATGATTTTTTTTCTTCCCTTTTGGCCTAGTGTAAAGGAAAAGAAGGATCAGTCCACATCTCTGTGTTGGAGGATTCGATTCTACTCCTGTTCTTTCTGAGAACATTGCCTGGAAAATATGGCAAGTAGAACTCGAGACAATATGATTAAAGCATCCTCAAAATCAGAAACAAAAAAACCAAACAAAAAAAAAAAAAAGACGGTTTGGAAGGGATTTGCTGATTTAGCTCTCATTCCACCACATTTAAACAAACCAACAAAAACCCAAAACAAAACTCACATACAGACCTATCCCCCCTACTTTTAAACAGCAGAATACTCCTTTGTAACAGCATTTTTTGCACTGCATTACTAGTGATAATCTGAGGGCAAAGAATGCTAAGGCCACACTTTGCCATTGCTTCATTGCATTATGTTCTCTCTACATCCCAAATGCTCCCAGCTTTAAATTAATGGACTTGATTAATCTTTGTTTTAAACCTTTTTAAACTGTCTCCAACAAAGAAAGCAAATCCATTGTGGGTAACTGGCTCTTCTGTGTCCTACTGCCAGATGGTGAGGCATGAAGGTAATGGATAATATTCCTCATTCCCGAATATGGAAACACAAATGGAGTACAAAGAGCAGAACCTTTTCAGGAATTTTAGATTTTCTCTTTGTGTCCTTCTCAGCAGCACTATAACATATTGGGTCAATGGATGATAAGTAACATATGCAGACAAATTGAGAAATTATGAGAAGGAACCCATCAGCACTTTAAGCTGTAGCAAGTACTGAAAATTGTTTCAGTCAAGAACACAGAAAAATTTAGATTTGCCCCCAGTGGATGCCATCATGTGCAGAATGCTCTGGCACTAGCAAGATCTTGACTCTCACCATCCAGACAATTTTAGGGTTTTTTGTTAACTGATTAGCTATTTGTGCAGAGCACTCTGCTCTTGTGACCAGTGCTTACCCTGGGTAGGCAGGGATGGCCGTGGGAGGTACTGCCCGCACTGCCCCGTACACTGTCCTTCCTCGGCCCCTCAGATGGGCGCCCCGGAACGCCGCGGCTGTGGTGGCTGCAGTTGGATAGGGGAAGCCTGGAACTGTGAAGATAGACAAGGTGGAAGGTGAAAAGGATACAAGCTCTGCCCCAGAGAACAACCACCTGCTTCAAACAAAGTGACACGACAGCTCCACAGCGGTGGGACATTTGCCATCAATCCTGCAGAAGGACATGCTTATAACCCAGCAAGCATCCCATACATACTTCCTGCTACACCATGGCCTTTGGGGGGAGAAGGGTTGCAGAGAGGTTTGGCATGCAAGAGGTTAATGTTTTGGCATGCCTTACCCACCCCAAACAGGGCTCAAATCCCCCCACCTTTCGATACTGCCATGCAGTCTGGTTAGAGTCTGAGAAGCATGGGGAGTTACTATCAATACAGCACGCAGTTCTTCCAAAACTGCAGAGGCTCTTTAAAATAATTGGTCAAGAGGCCCTTAAAGTCAACCAACTTACATCAGTCTCTTCCCTCCTTTCCCCTCCCACTCTTTGCCACCCAATCCTCTGTATGTTCATTTTAAAGCCTGAAAGACAAGATAGCCCATATAACAGCAGCAGCAATTTCCCATAAAATGCCAGTTTACTGAGAGCCCACCTTCATTCAACAAGTGTGACCAATAACTGGCACCACATATAGCAATGCCTCTATTATAATGCTTTCAACTGAAGTAAACTGGCTCATGATGAAACTTTGTAAAACCTCAGAGGCATCTGCAAACACGTCATAAACAGATACTGAGAGGGAACGAGTCCCAGGGCACAAACCCAACCCAGCATGCATCCAGGTGCATGCCACTAGGGGCCCTGCAGACCCGTGGTTCAGCAGCTTGTATAATATGTACTTTAGGGATTTGTCCGTTTGGTTTCTTCCATTTCAATACAGGGAGGGGAGCAAGGGAATGGCCTATTCCTCACACACACCCTCCCCTTGTTCTGCAGCCTCCTTGTGGTGCAGAAGGACCCATCCAGCAGTACAGCAAGATACTGCAGATGAACAAGTTACAGCAACTGTACACTATACTTTGGTTCAAGGTAAACTCATTCCCAGCGTGACCCATCCTTTCAAGTATATATTATACAGACTGGAGAGAAGAAGGGTAACAGGTCATCATTAACTCAAGCACAGTAACAATACAGGGGCCATAAGGGGCTACTTACTGATTAAAGGAATGTAAGTGTTAATACCCCCCCTTCCTGACAGGGGCACTGCGGCGTCATTGCCCAGCGAGACATCTGCTTGAAAGCTGGACGCTAATTTAATTTAAAAAAGAATAAAAAACAAAAACAAAACCGTAAAATGGTTATAAAGAAACAGCAGATTAAGAACATAAAAAACACCACTGCAGTTAAATGGCAGAAGTGGAAGTGTCTACTTAAGCTCTACCTGCATATAACTCAGGGCCGTACACCGCTCCAACCACAGGACTCAACTTCCAACCTGAAACAACAAAGACTGCAGTGAATGCCAAAATCTACACCAAGAGAAGGAACGGGCAGCGTGGGTAGGGGGAATGGTCTCTTGCATGCGCCCCAGCTCCACATGCACAGCTCTTTCCAATTTCTGCTTCGCCTCAATCCCCCTTGGTGTAGATGGAGGCCAACTGCCCTTTCCTAATGTTGAGCTCTAGGTCCAGGTCACTGTATCGGAGGGAACAGCAAAACATCAGCTGATCCACAGCAGGCGGAGGCACTGCTGTGGGAATGCCAACTACCTTATATGCATATTTGCCATGAGCATGTGCAACCTGGCATTCCCTGCAGGAGCCTTGCTGCCAGCTCCTCCCTACTTTCACTGGGAACACTGCAGATACAAGCCCTCTCTAAAGCCACCGGCCCAGACTGTCATCTCAGGTAAGTCAAATTGTAGCCTTGAATTCTCAAAACACCCTTCTGTCTTGTCTGCTAGAGATCTGCTAAAAAGCAACAGTGTTTGAATTTCCTCATTAACTGCATTACGCAACTATAGTTCATAAAACCAAATAATTCTATTCATCTCACACTTTCCCCTCACTGTTATTTTAGTATTTCTCTCCTTTATGCTTCTTTTCAGGTGAAAGCCTTCACAGAGAAATTATTTCATTATAATCTGGATAACTGGCAAGAACTGCAAATCATCAAGATAAAACCTACAAGAGAATAGGGCTTAAAGAAGTATGGGTATAAGTTAGTACATATTTCCAGTCACATCTAGAAACCTGTCTTTCCCCCCTCCAGCACTCTAATGGGGGAGAAAAGAGATATAAAGCTAACAATGTGATCTGGGTTGGCTTCCACAAAGCATTCCTTTCAGGAAAGATCTCAGCTTTCAGCTAGCAATCACAGAGGCATTTTTATTTAAAATAAATACACTTCCTCTGTCAGGTAGCCCATGTGCACTTGCTGAACTTTTAACACCTCTAACCACTCTAGAAGCCATATGAACAACTCTGTGAACTGCAGCCCACCAACACCACCCCCTCACCTGCTGGCAGAGTATCAATGACAGATGCAGTGCAGGCTCCCTCTGCAAATACAGGCACACTGCTGCTACACTGGTCACCTTGATAGCAAAATACTCCAGTGGTGGCAACAACAGGACTGTTAACTCTTAAATTTAATAACAGTTGTACAACCATACTTGCTAGTACTCCTTAAGCCTCGTCTAATACTAAATTTTTTTGCATAGCTTTAAAGCTGGCTTTAAACTGCTGCCTGCAAAAGCAAAATATTCTTGTACGTTATCACTTTCACAAACAAGCCAAGTTTCATTACCAGTCACACACATGACAGACGTTTTCTGCCCTTGTTTTCAGGACAATGTACCATGGATGCCTTGCCTTTTGCTACAAAATCTCCTAGTTCCTTCCAGGTACTGCGAGACCCAGAATCCCAAGCCTTTTGTTTGGCCCTGTTTCCTCAGCTCAGTACCCAAGGTAAGATTTACTTGCAAGGGACCACGCAGTAAGTCGGCAGCAGAGCAACATAAAAAAATTATCTTCTCAGTTTGGAGTCTTACTTTGTAATCAAAACAGACTGTCACACCAGCTACTACCTGTATGCAGCTTCCTGCCTTGATGAAACTGTTTGGGAACATTTTCACACCAAAAAGAACTTTGCTGCCCGGTTCAGGACAAAGACTCAGATTCAAAATCTTTATCAAAGCAACATTCAGTTCTGCTGGGAGAATGACTTTTTATGCCATATATGCCTATGGAGTAAAATTACTTCACAGAGAACCACCAAGATACCCCAACAAAACAGGATTCCTCACTACCCAAACAACTTGGTCTTTCTCTGTTTAGGTTCACTGGAAAATTCACTGAGCACACGCAGTGTGAAACAAAAAGCAAGCAAACAAGCAGCACAAAGGCTCTGTGTTGCTGGTTGCCTGGGAATAGCTGTACTTTTACAGATAGAACCTAAACTGAGCTATCTTAAGTTATTAAGCTAATTACTTACATTAAGCATCTTAAGTTATGTTTCTGCATTCTTATTTAGGTATTTATGTGATGGCAGTGAGTCACAGGAGCACTGCACATCCCACCACGCAGAATCAGCTTGCAGTAGCAGGGCAGGCAACCACTGGTCCTTGGCACCTTCACCCATCTTGGGTACATGGGGCATGTCCCTACTTCTCTCTGTCCCCACTTCTCCATCTGGAAAATGGTGTTCCTCCACAAACACTTTTGGGTTGTACTGAATGATATAATGATATAAATTAGAGTTTGTGAGGTTTTATTGGTTCCTTTTGGTCCTGAGGAGAGGTCATGACTTTTCCCTTTTGTCTTTCTTCAAACGTTTCAGCTCATCACTAGTACAAACAGCCTCTCTTACCATTTGCATACGGTGTGACCATCTTCTTATTGGTCATCACTCTCGCAGTGGCATTGTTAACCTAAAAGTAAGAAAGGGGAGGGGGAGGAGAGGGAAGGAAGCACAGAACGTTAGGGAAAATGGTAAAAAACTCTCAGATACCACACACACACACATACACACTATACTTCTCTGAGCAAAAAAAAAAAATTAAACAGCTAATTTTACATTAATGCAATCTTTAAATTACTTTTAACAGTTGCCATTTAATTATAAAAGTTACAGCTAAACATGGCATTTTAAAATTATGCATTAAACAAAAGGCCAACAAGAGTAAAGTGCAGATTCTCCATCACCCTGCCATCCCTAGACACGGGATTATTTACAGCTCAGTGATCAAAAGGGCAAAACCCTAGGTGCTTTGTCCAGGTCTCTTAGAGAGGCAGGAATAATTTCTGCAGCTTAGGGCAGGGGAACTGAACCAGCTGATGTACAAGATGACTTCTTTCTCAAGCTCACTGCTGGAATTGTGGCCCAGCAGGTTACTGGCAGGACATTTGGGTAGAAAAAGGTAGCCTGGAGTCCCTCAGCATTAGATTTGAACTCCCAAGGCTTGAGGAAATCTCTGGAACATCACCAACTCCTTAGACGATCCATACTCACTGATTTACACCCACCATTTTCAGACCTTTTTCCAGATAATTTTTTTTCCTTGTCACAAATCTCATGGGACAAAAAGAATACATAGCAGCAGACCTGGATATTTTTTGGGTTTACTGTGCCCTCTACCCTCTTTACAGAGCTCTGCACAGTTCCAAGCAGCTTGCCTGCTCAAGCAAGTGGGGTGTTACTGCAGAGATGGTGCTGATAAAGAAAAGATGGACTAGTTTGGAAGCCAAGTTACTGCAGCCCCGTGTCAGCCTCAAAGCTCTTGCAAGGAGGGTGAAGTCTTTATGGATCATCAATAATTTATCAAAACGCATGCCCAATGGGAATGGAGGCCAGAGTGAAGAAGAAAAAAAAAAAACGGATACAGAAATAGAAGCTGCCTCAGGCCCTTGAGATGTATGGATGGTGGGCACACAGGGTGGGGAGTCCAGAGCTACATTTTACTCTTGTTTCAGACCCAAAACAATAGAAACATTACACATTTAAAAAAGAAAGAATGGGAAACAACAATGATGAGACTGAGAGCATGCAGTTAAACACACACAGATAAAAAAAAGAAAGAAAAAAAACACACCACAATTGATTCAGAGGGTGGGGAGGGGAGGAGTGAGGGGATAGGGTCTCACAGACAATCATTAGATGGAGCGAGTGCCTGAAATCAGCTGCTACAGCAAAGTGCAACACAAGCACTTAAAGGAAAAAATGCCAGAACCAATCAGAAACCACCAGTCAGCAAAGAGACCAACAGCTGCATTTAACTTAGTAAAGAAATAAACTGGGGAGGGGGCAGAAAGAAAAAGAGAGGAAAAACAATAACAGCTACAAACAGGTCTCAGATAGAAAGAGCAGCAGAAAGAAGGGGCAGGAGAGAGAGAAGAGGATATGGGTGCATTAATAAAAACCAGCCAAACTGGAGTTCAGTAACTCTGAGTAAGATGTGCAAGGGGAAATCACCATGAAGTCAGTAATCAAACAGCTCAGACTGCTACAAAACAATATGTACATCCAAAGTCCAGGCGGCATTACTCAACAGCATTGAAAATAAAAGGGGGAGAAAGGGAAGGAGGTGGGTGGGGACAACAAGTCAAATCACATTTCGTAGTGTTAATGTGAGATGGCAGATGGATTTTTTCTTTCTTAATTTTTTTTTGTAATTTTAAGAAAAATTTAAAAAAAAAAAAGAAAAAGCTTCTTCTCTAGCACTTTTGTTTCACTTACCGCCAACTCGTACCATCGCCAGCATTGTGTATAGTTACCATGGAAAGAGTGAGTCAAGTGAAGGGCCCTAAACGCTAAACCATCGGAAAGGGAAATAAAAAAACAAAACAAAACAGAAAAAAAAAAAGGCAAAATATGCAGACATCTTACTCAAAAACGGCGGCTTTTTTGTTTCAATATTTGTACTTTTTGGTTTGTGTTTGTTTTTTTTAAAGAAAGAAGGAGAGAGGGATGATGCCAGTTAGCCTTCAACACAGTGGAACACCAAACTGGTCAACACCAGTCATGCCCAACATATGGCCATGATGGCCAGCCAACATTAACCCTTCCCTCCCCAGTGGTGAGAGCTAGCAAACTTTTAGGATTAGCTTTCACCAAACCTGTTCTTGACCATGGGCAGATCAAGAAACCAGCAGTGTGTATAGCACAGCCCACTTGGGGCTGTCGCCCCCAGTGTCCCCACCCCTCCCACAGGCATCATCTCACACTTGCATGGAGGAGAACTGGCCTCAGAGGAAAGAGAGGATACTGGCTGGCCCCCTGCTTTCTTTTTTGGACACAGTTAGAAGTTGGACAGTACTCTTTCAGTTAGTTTTGTTCAGGCCTGGTAACAGGAAATCGGAGCCTCGCAAACTGAAGCAAAGGAAAAATCAAGACAGCAGAAGGGCAAAAACTTGGAGTGGGTGGGAATAAAACTAAATAAAAGAAGAAAGAAAAGGAAAAAAATACCCAAAACAACAATAAAAATATTCTGTAAAGGGTGTAAACTTCTATACATTTCAGTGCTGGGAGGTGAAGGACACAGACACAAACACACACGCACACACAAGACTGGGATCCAAATGTGAAATAAGTGAGGCAAGACACAAAAAGAAATCAAAAGAATAAATATAAAGAAGAAATTGAATTACTGAAGACATGCACCTCGATTTTACGGCCCTCTACCACGGTGCCGTGTAATTTCTCCCTGGCCCTGTCTGCATCAGCACTATTCTCGAAAGTTACGAACCCGAATCCCTGCATGCAGCGGGAGAAGGGGGGAAAACATGCACATCGTTATATATTGAAATACTGATCTCTAGGTAAATAGAGAAAAAATATCACAGTATGAAATCGACATCAGCACAACTCAGCAATAACCTCCTAGAGTCACATTGTTCGTTCATGCATGTTTCATAAATGAAAGAAATTAAAATCAATAAAAAAGGAACTGTAATCATAATAAGAATAATAAGAGTAATTAAAAAAAAAAGGAAACATAAAAGCAATTGAGGCCAGACCAAAAAAGAAGTACGAAGTTACTCGAGACAATTTTTCATTTTGGTTTCGTTTGGTTTTTTGTTTAAAAACACTAAACCCTGCTCTGACATAGGCAAGCTGGGTAAGCCCAAGTAGGGCTTCTCTCTCCTCTTAATGAACACCAAATTTTGTAGGACCCCCGTCCACCCCAGACACAGTACAAGACATTGACACTGAGCAGCACTTTGTCCTCTTGAGAAACTGCTATGAGAGTGAGCAGCAATCTGAGTTCATGCCTGGGATCAGGAATTCTGCAAAGCTTTGGGCAAAATCAAACACTGAACCTTGCTTTTCTCACCTGTAGAATGGAGACAGTAATAATTACCTACCTTAGAACACTTGAAAGGAAGGGCTTTTTATAAAGCATCCCTTGTAAGCTCTTCAGGGCACAGCTCATGCCTACTCCTAAGCCTGTAACTTCCCCAATGATACATGGGGCCCTGAAAGTAAGCAAGGCTTCTAGGTGGCACCATAAAATAAGCATATTTAATGAATATCACATACTGTAGGTTCCAGAATATTCTTATCTCTGAGTACTGTGGTGGACTTGACTGTAAATCTAAACACCTAAATGCTGATTCATTGGTCAAGGCAGGTTTTGTATGACACTGCTGACCCTCTACTACCTCTCCCTGCTACCCATCTTACTCAGCTGTGTTCTGAGATGGCAACCTCTGTGCTGTGGAGAGCAACAGATCTCTGCCTAGTTAGAATACAAAATTTCCAGAAAAACTGACATGCCTTGCTTGGAGCAACCACAAAGGCTCAAGGACTGCCAAAACATTGCTTTAGTTACACAAATTCAGGTTTACCACACCCATGAAGGGACAAGCAACACATGCCTGTCCTACACATGCTCATGCTGCTGCCAGCTCATGCAGTGGTACAGCAGGGCAGGGTAAGAGACCATGCTTCCTTCCACAGAGCTGAGTGCACTGACATTAAGAGAGAGCCAACATGACAAAATGAATTAGGATTTTAACTAGGAGCAAATGGCATCTTAATACAGACAACTGTGATGAGATACTCTTCATGCCATTAGAGAGAGTGGACCCAAACAAAAACCATTGTTGCATTCTGCTTTCAGGACATTTTAACAACAGCAATAACTGGCTCCTGTGGCTTGGTATAAAGCAAATACTGCTTTAATGTACAGAGAGTCATCTCCACTGGCTCCAGTACCCTCAGGAGCAGAACAACAAAGCCTGTATTTGATGTAATGGAAACTCCCTTGCAGTGTTAACTGAAGAGTGAGGTGATGAGAGTGATCTAGAGCTATGCTTGTCAGGGAAGGGGCATGCTAGCCAGGCAACCTCCTTCATGCACCTTGGGATCAGCATGTATTTGCACTGGACAGCCCAAAAAATAGACAGCATCTTGATTTCTAAGCATTGTTAGCAATAAGACACATGCAAGCCGTTATTCTTCAAGTGCTTTTTAAAGGTCTTTACAATACTAATAATGAACAGCCCAAGCTGTTTAAGTGACAAGCTGGCCTTTATCATCCACAGCTAGGTTCCCAGCACAAAACTGCCACAAATTTTTTAAATTCGGGGTGGTGGTGGTTGTTTTTTTTGAGGGGGAAGGTTTTTTTCCTCTCCCCTGAACAGCAATAATAAAGGATCTTAGCCAGTACTGCAATGCTGAGATCAACAGAAGTGCTCCTTTGGGCTCCAACCCAATAATCTAAAGCTTCAAATAATTTAATTTTTCCAGCTATAAATAAAGAGCTATATAAACAACAAACTGATACCTCTTTCAGAACAGCATAGAAGTTCCCTGTTTAAATGAATTAAAAATCAGAGCTACAAGACATAGGGGCTAATAAAACAGCCCAACTGCATATAACTCTCAAATATGTTGCAGAGAACTTGGGGGGGTGTGCAGGAGGTGTAATAGCACAGCTCATTATGAAGGAATTGGGTACTGTGCCTGCTTTAAAGAGCCCCTATAGAGAAAGGTAAGCCTGAGAAAGAGCAACACCTTTCCCTCTGGTTCTGTATAATGCGGAAAAAACATCCTTTAAAGGTTGGGGGAGGAGGGGAGGTAAAGACTGCAAGAGGAATCTCTATTTCCCTCTTCTCTTTTTGCATTAAAATTTCTGTTTGTTCTAGACAAGCCTGTGGAGAACAAATGAAATTTATGTCTTCAGTGACAATATGAACTGAAAGCTGGAGTGCAGATGGAAAGTAATTCTTTAGACATTAATCTGTGCAGGCTAGAACCATACTAAGACTATTTTAATTCACATCTGTTTGCAATTAGTAGAGTCTGTATGGGATTTTTTAAAACTACATAATTATTAAATATCTTTAAACCGAGCAGGGATTTTCAGTATTTTTATTAAGTTAACTCAAGGTAGCATACGATCCACATGCAGACTATATGAATACAATTAACAAAGTGAATTAAACCAGAATTAATCTGATTCAGGACAACATAACTAATTAACCATATTTTATTGAAAGATCAGCCCTTAGCTTGTGCAACTCTTTATTGAGCACCATTTAATGTCAATGCTGAATTAATACTTTACATAGTTGACTATGGCAGTTAGTATTTGTGTCCTCTTGGTTTGTCATATTAATGCATCTCTTAGACGTTCAAATTTTCCTCAGGAAAAACAGGTGAGCCACACTTGACATTTTTGTTATTTCTAAGTTTAAAAACTAGCAATTAGATATATGCATATACACACACATTTTTGAAGTGGGAGAGAAAAAAGAACATACATATATTTTTTATTCCTTCTCACAGATGACCTGTAAAGAATAGGGATTAATTTGTACCTAAATACATATGCAACAAACAGTTTTCAGTTTTCCCTCAGAAAGGTTGTCTTGACCTTGAAAGAAAAAAAAAGAAACAAAGCAAGCAAAAAAAAAAAAAAGATGGGGCAGGTATCCAATATTTACCAGCTTAGCTTTATAGCAGGTACTAAATTGCTCCATAGTAATAGGTATGGAGCCAGAGGAAGGGAAGATCCTAGATGAAAACAATACTTGGGTTTTCTAAAATTTAGATTATACACATTGTTTGAGTTTAATAATGTTGTTATGATAACAAGGCTACAATTTTCAACAATTCCTCCCCACCAGCAACTGCCACAAACTTCTCCCATGCAGAAAATAAGTTTAACCCAGCAAACACTAAATTCCAATAAACATTTTTAGGAGTAGTGAGAAATTTGCAGTACCAGACTAACCCCTTTTTACCCAAAGGTTTATTGAAAGGGCCTGAAGAGACCGAGTAACTGTCACCCTTTTAGTCTGGCCTCAGATTCTGCAATAAATAACAAGCAACATGATGAGCAGTGAAAAAAATAATAAATGTATATATATAGTATTTGAACGTTTCCATCTCTGAAGAATGAGAAAGAAAATTTACCATGTAACCGTAAAGGGAGAAATCAAAACCAGACGGTTCTCCTGGGTGTGGCCAGAACACAGAAATTAAACAAAAAACAACAACAAAAATAAAATAAAGTAAAATAAAAAAGAAATAAAACCAAAGAAAACTAAACAGAGCCCCTTGAAATCCATGCATTGTTAACCCTTCGTTTGTCATGGAGTTTAGACCAGTCACCTCAGCAGCAGCAGCGTCTTTGCCTTGTACCACTGGAGCACGCAGCCAGCAACCAGCCTTGCTGTTATCTGCTGCTGTGCTTGTTTCTAACCAAGTTTTTTTCTTTTTTTCCCCCTTTATTTCGATATGAAACTTTTAGAAGCCTGAAAAAATTGCCAAAGAGGCAGCAGTTTAGGCTGCCTGTTTCCAAGGCATTTGGAAAGAGTAGGAGGGTTTCAGCTATAATCCACCTGAGATGAGCAGGACTGAATGCACCGACAGCAACCCAGCACAAAATCCAGAAACAAATCATTGAAGTCACACACACAAATGCACCCTTCATGATGGTAAAAACATCTGTGTAAACCAAGCTGCCACCATTTCCTCAGCTCTTCCAGCTCTTCCCAGCCCCCATGCCACACTTTGCATTGAGGCACAAACACGTGTAGAACCTGTCCGCGTACCTGTGCAATGTGGTGAGTCAGATGCAGAAATTAACCTGACTAAAAAAAATGTAAGTGTATCTTCAAAAAAACCTGCAGGGCTATTTTTAAGCTCTCTCATTTCCACAATCCAGCTTGAGCTGCTCCACTGCCAATCCCTGCTGCAAAAGAGCAGAGGGGGCAGAGGCCAGCAGCAAGGGCCAGGAGCCCAGCCAGCAGCGCTGGGCAGAGAGAGCCTGGGGTTTCCAAGCAGCTCCAGCCAGCTCAGGACAGGGGCTTCACAGCCCCAGTCATCCCCAGGTGTGTGCTGCTCCTCCTCCCTTCAACTGATCCTGGATCTCACTGCATGGTTGGCGAGTTCAACAGGCTGAACTGACTGAAGACAAGCTCATTTCTCTCCCTGCTGCATTAGTGTCTTGCTAATTTAGCACCCAGATCCAGCTCCCAACATAGCGAAATAAGCACTGCTGGAAAAGCACTCCCACAGAAGCAGTAGATCACCTTATACTATGAAACCATAAACTTCAGCCTGAAATTCAAGTTTAAATACATCAGTTCTGTGTGTGGACTAACTGATCTCTTTAGTTCAGTATTGCAGACTCCAAGGCATGAAACCACTGAACTAGGATAAAGGGACACTGGTCATGTCTCCTTCATGCCACTGGCATCCTAAAGAGATTTGGTGACCTGAGAAAGTGATGCTGGTCATCAGTACTTAACTTGTTTTTAAACCTCATTGTATTAATTACATTTTTTGTACTTCTGGTTCAACTGATGAAATGTGAACAGAAATTGTAAGATGAATTAAAATGAAAACAAGACTTCTAATTCATTTTATGTAATAAGGGGCTTTCCAGAGTGGAAACTACGTCCAGAACAAAAGTGCCTCAATTCAAAGCACCTAATCCATTTAAAGTAGAAATAAATGCACATGCAAACTTATAATCTTTAAGGCACCATTATCAAAACCTAGTCACATTCTTATCTTAAACTACAGTTAACTGCAAACTTAAAAATCCACACAGCTTCCACAGAAGTTTTTAGTTAGCATAGGTTTACTTACATAAATCCAAACACCAACAGATGCAATTTCTCTCATAACTACACTACTACAACTAATTTTTAAAGTAAATATGAAGCCTTTCTAGGCACTATAGTCCTACACAAGAACTTGGAGATTTGAGAGGAAATCAGTGAGGGACATAAAACTTACAGTACCCTGAAACCATGAGCTCCTCTGCTCTAATATGAACTCTTACCATTTAAAAAGCTACAAACAACCCCAAAAACCACCAAAACCCATTCCCTATTCAGCCACGATTTTGCTGTGTGCTCATGTACTCCTGATCTCTGAATGTCATTGAGGGCACATCTTGGAATGCCACACGGTACACAGCTGGTGGGCAAAGAGCTTGGATTCCCTTCCCCTGCAGTTTTACAAATGCCACAGGGTACTCATTAGAGAGGCAGACTGCATTAATTCTGCAAATATGTCCACTTGCTCGATTCACCACAATAGTGGCAAAATACGCTTCTAGAGGATGCATCTCCACTAACAAAAGGAGCAGGAATCCTCTCGACTTCCTCTGGAGGTGTTTTATTCACGGTTCAGTGAAGTGCATGGTAAACTGCAACCATGGGCAGAATGCTATTTAAAGGCACTTATACCAGTCAGAGCTAGAAATGTAATGGTAAACAGGATAAATGAAACAAACAGCTAGTTTCCTGGAAGCAAGCGAAAAAAGCCAAATACATCAAGGGAAGACTGACATCATTCTATTAAACAAGAAGAAAACAAAATGTAATTCAAGGAATGTTTAAAGTTTTTATCTTGTTTCTCACACAGAGCGCAGCAGTAGCAGTGTGAGGTCTACCAGGGCCCATATACTCCTACTAAACAGACTGAATCTGGGAAGAAAGCGAGTTACAAAACAAGAATTCACATTGCTTTGAGAGAAGAATCAGCAAAACTCATTAACTGCCTCCTACGCTGCTGTGATAGAGAAAGTCAACAAATACCATTTCTGAAATAACCTGAGGTGAGAAGTGGCTGTAATGGATACACCCAGCTCTCTCTTTGGTCACCAAACTCTGTAAGGACACAGAGACCCTGAAGATGCAGCCAGTTTGACAGATCTTCCCCAGGCTGTCGAAGAAAACTGCCTGGTCATCTCAGGTGGATTCAAAATGAAGAATGCTACCTGAACGCTTCCTCCAGCCCCTCCTACTGACCAGCACTGGAGCTATCCCAGTAGAGTTCTCCCGCCACAGCTCGGCAGGGACAAAGCGCTGCTCAACCCCATCGCACACTGGGTGGGGGCCAACCCAGGGCAGTTTGTGATTTACCACTGTACCTTTAAAATATTTACAAAACATATACACAAAACACTACAACCCTTAGGAACCCAGGGAAGGGAAGGGAGCATTGAGAACACAGCACAAGGCAGGCAGCAGGAGCATCTGCTTTCGGATTCCCAAGAGAGAGGAGAAGAAGAGAGAGAGGTTTCATATCATTAGATTAGAATGGAAACCACAGGGCAGGAAAATGCATTCAGATTTTTTTCCTAAGGTGTAGAAAGAACCCAAGAGTGAGTGAGTGGCCTCCAGAAAGATCCATTTCCTTTGCTTCACCATCAGATCACCAAACTGTTGTTTTTCCATTATTATGTGAATACCAGGTGCTTCGTGCAGCTACACCCCACTCAAACACTGGGGCCTCCCATTTTCATGCTAAGCAGGAAGAATCTTGCATTCTTTTTAAAACAGGAATTATTTTGGGTGAGAAGGATGCAGATACCATGAAATAACTCTGTGGCTGTTTTCTCATTCTGTTCAGATTCTGGACATCCCTCAATACAGGCTACCAGTTTTGTAACTGCTTTTTGCTGCAAGACGACAAAAAGCAGTGGAAAACTGCATGGTGAACGAAGACTAGAAGAACATTTCTCTTTTCTTTTTTTTTTTTTCCCAAATATTTATTAATGGTTCAGGGTAACATTCATCAAGGAACTCTTCAGCAATAATTTTTGTTTTAACTGAAAACCAGAAGCCTTGGGCTTTAGCAACAGCACAAGAAGGTACTTTTCATAGTCATAAATCAAGTCTTCACAGAAAAGCCTTCAATGTCAATGTTGCCTAGAAGGGAAAGGGCAGCCGTGGGCGTTTAATACACAGGGCTGTATGGATGGGAGAGAGAGAGAGTGAAGTTCATGTGTGAAGAGGAAAACACTGCTCTGGAAAGCACAGGCAGTGGGTTATGAAGAACATTTTGCCAGGCCAGTTATTTTTGTTCTTTCTTTTGCAATTATATCTGAACAAGTAGGGATTTGATAGAGGCCAGAGGCTATTCTCAAAACCAAACAATAATGACTAAAATCAAGAGTAATTCACAGGTAGCTTTGGCCTATAAATATCAAAAGAACAGCAGGGAGCAGAATAAATATTTACGAAGTCAGCACAGCTGATTTTTTTGGTAAAGCATATAGATTTTTAACCATGCAGGGAAGTAAAACTCTCACTAAACTATATAGACATTTACTTGTTCAGAATGTCTTGTTAAAAAAACAAAACTTGAGAAAACCATGGTATTAAGTAGAAACAGGATGAGAAGAAAGGACTAAAACTCATGTCTTTTGTATACAGATCAATGGCTTTCTGGTTTCCAGATAATACAGGACTGAAGAATTTCAGAACACATCTTGGGCAACATGGGTGGAAATTTGAAGAAGGCTCTGAACATGAACATACCCCTGAATATATGCTGAAGCAAAGAGGCCACATAAAAACTGTGGACCTCAAATCCAAGCAAAAGGCATAGACTCTAAACCAAAACTGCTTAGCTGAATTGCAACTTCAAAACCTTTTGTGTGCATGCACACATGTGCACACACGTGTGTGTGAGGAGGAGGGAAATTTTGTTTTAATTGAAAATGGGAATCTTAGCATTGATTAAGTCAAGCAGAGTATAGACATGCACTGTGCAAGCTTCCCCCATAGAGCTTTGGCAATGCACCTCGCTCCTGACCTGCACAACTCCCTGCTATTCCAGTGCTGAACCTCCTGGGCAGAGAGAGAATCACAGCAATTTGTCATTGTGGTGATACTGGTTACGTGATGAGAACCAATTGCCAATTAGGAGAGAGATCACTGAATCTCTCTGCAGCTGACCTGAGCAACATTTGAAATCTCATCTCCAGAGATATAAATTGCCATTAACCCTCAACAAAACTTGCCTCTTAATATATCTGTCAGAAGAAAATTGGAGTGTGAATGCAAATTCTGTGGGGGAGGTCCACATTGGGCAGGACAAGTGGAATGAGGATGCTTATATTAAAGCACCAAATATCTCAAACATGAAAGGTCAGTATCTCAGAAGTGCCAAGTAAGTCTGCAAACCAGAATATATAAAATCCTTTCACATATGAGATATGACAGTTTTTCACAGACGTATTTTAATGCAATGAAAATCACAGGGATAGGGGCGAGTTTAGCTTTTGCTCTTACAGTCTCCCATCATACAAAGCTGTTTTACCTTATCCTGCCTTCCTCACAGGGCAGCCATTGCCAATGCAATGGGAATGGGTTGGTATGAAGGCTCAGCTGACTGAGTCCCTGTTTGTTCAAAAGGCTGGGGAACCTGATCCCACAGACAGGAGTGTCTCTGAGCATTTGTACACACTGCCCAGAAATGACCATGCTCAGAGTCTCAAGTCAGAGGGAACAGGAGACAGTCCCCAAAATAGCTTTTCCCTTCCCCCATCACTCTAGTTCCTGCTGATCTCTACAGAATATATTCTCTAGGCAATGAACTGCCTTCAACTCCGCAATCAAAACAAGAGAAGCGGGTACAGAAACAGGACTTACCTTCGAGCCACGCTCATTAAAGATTATCTCTACATCAAGGATTTTGCCGAATTGCTGCAGAGAGACAAGGGAAAATAAAGAAAAAAACATTTATTTTTGGCTATACATTTTTCCTACCTTTTGCAGGGGCTGGTTTAGTGCAAGAAGGTAGGTGAGACTATTTACATTTTCTAGCATGCTGACAAAGGCATAAAATTCCAGTGACATGACCCAATTTTCCTGGGTTAAGACATGCAGATCATCTTGGTCACAAACTCCAGCTTTTCTCACAAAAGTCTAAAGGAAGAAAAACCATCTCCAGAAGAGTTTTAGGGATTTGAGGAAGCTCATCTTTTCCCCATTAATCTAAACAATTCTTCTTTCCCTCATTCTACTATTTGACCTAAGACATGGTTCTATGATTTCATCTGAGATATCCAACAACATTTCTCACATATAATTCAACATTTCAGCTTCCTCCTGAAGTGGCTATCACAAAGAGAAACTTAAAAGTGATGTTTCTCTGGAAGGAATAGTAACATAAGACTCCCAGCCGCAGGGAATTCAAACACTAAAGCTTCTTTCCTTCTCTTTATTTTCCAAAACTTCAAGCCTTCAAAAGAATTTATGGCAGATTCAGAAACCATGAAAATGGAAAATTCCCAACAGTTTGTTTTTCAGAAAAAGATCATCCAGCTTCAATCTGTGACATATAGTAGGTGGCCAACAACCTATGCAAGCTTATCACATGCAATAGAATTCTGACCTCAGCCTAGAGACCCTAAGGAGAGCTCTGCACTCAGAGGGTTCCAAAGAGCTCCCTATTCAGCACAGAAGGAGACCTACCACCCTCTGTGGAACCTTGTATGGATTACATCTTTCACTTTGCTAGGAACTTACTAAAAATATTTTATTGAAGCAGCCAGACTCAAAACAGTGGCCTAGAAGTAAAAGTACCGCCACTTCAAAAGAGGCTCACAGTGCTCTGTCTTCCAGAAGTGTCAATGCTCTATTTCCAAACTGGATGCCTGCTCTCTAGAAAGACAGGTCTAGATGTCATTTTTAGAAGTGTGTATATGGAGTAGTCTTCAATTTTAGAGACACACACATATAGTACTCAGACAAATGCTACATCAGCTTTTCCTATCCCGTTATTTAGGAAAGCTTTCCTCAACATGGTTTTGATTTAAGTTTGAGAGCACATGAAGGAAGGATCAACAAGAAAATAAAGAATGGTTTCACAGTTAAAAAAGATGGTGAACACAGGGTCCAGGCACTGGGACACTCTCCCCTTTGCCCAGCACTCTTAAAATATTTTTGCCTTTTTTTTTTTTTTATTTAACAGTTGCATTCACAGTCAAACGATTCCGTGGGTGACCCTCTCAAAAGGCTTGTGGCCAAGTTTGAAAACCTGGAACATTTACAGCAAAGAGCCATGATGGCTGAGGAGAAGCTCTGAATATGTTAAGCAACAAAAAGTTGCTGAGTCCCTTGAACAAGCATTCCACAACTGTCTGCAAGCAAGCAAAACACTTAAAACAATTTTAGCTATAGTTTCTGTCTGCTTGCCTTCTCCATTCTTAAAAAGGAGATCTTCGTTCACAGATGTTGTTTTTACTGTTCTATTGTTTAAGGACAATACTTGATCCTCTATTCATCCCAAGAACAATTGAATTCACAACATTCTACGTTACACAAGTTTGAATAATGCTAATGTAAACATGCATCTTCCTTGAAAACTGAACATCTCAACAACTTAGGCTTGATCCATGCTGGTTCCTCCTTTGACCGTTTCTCTGCCAATCACAGCTAAAATACGTTTTCTATTTCTATCCCACGCTTGGTGTGGGCTTGTCAATAAAGGAGATTAACTGTTGATTGCTTTTTGTTGTCTTTGTTGCATACAGCTTTAGTACTGCCATGAAAGGAATCAGTCATGATTGTCATGATTGCTTTCTTGGTAGACTATCTCAGCATCCTTACATGACTGGGGCTAAACCAATTCAGCAGCTTGTGGCTGCTGAAGGGCTGTCCCTGCTCCTTTGTTTTTCCTTGTCTGGTCTCACCAGCCTTCCAGAGCTGGCCTCAGTTTTCATTCTCACCTGCAGATAAACTAATACAGCTCAGCAGTGCTGTGAAAATCTAGCCCAAGAAAAGGAAAACATACAAAAATTCTGACAATTTACTGAGCAGAAGTGGCTTGAAGGGTCAGTGAGCATTATGGCTTGAAGAAGCAAAAGGGAGCAGAAAGCAGCACACCCTGCCCAAGAGCAGGATCTGTCCCCTGCCAGATCAGCTCAGCTGCCTAGCCTTGCCACACACACTGAAACAGCCCCACTCTCAATAAATGCAAATAACCAAAATTGTTCTCAGAATCTTAAAAGCCATCAAAAATCACCATTTTCTACCTCCTTAGAATCATCTTGAAAGAGAACAAACTGTGCGGCTTCTGGTGCACAATTAGGCCGTGCCATCCTCCCCTTTCTGCACGCCCGGCTGGGCCTGGATCCTCGGGCTCTGCTGCCAGCCCCGCTGGGCTGAGCTCCCTGGGCAGGGCTTCCACTCCAGCGGGAACCCTGTCCTGTGCGTTTAACTTCTCGTGGCTGACACAACGCCGGCGGTGACACTGAACGCGAGAGGTCTGACCCAGCTGTACAAGAGGTGGCAGGGCCCTCCCTGCCTAGAGATGACGGAGGTACATCGTTTCCTAGATGACAGAATTAAGAGCCTGTGGTCGCAGCAAACGCAGGCTTGACATCTCCTGCAATGGGCTACATCCACCCATGCAAACTGCCCCAATCTCTTTTCTCCCTGGGAGTTGTGGGTGTTTGAAGAGGCAAGAGGGAAGGACCTCCTTGGGAAAGAAGAGCAGAGACAATGGGGGCTGACTGCTGAATGGAGGTTTGCTGGGGAGGGGTTTCCCTGCTCCACAAAATTCCCTAAAGAAAGCAGGGCTGTGAGGCAGAAGGATGTGTGCTGGGCTCTTCAAGGCTCTGCTGCAGCCATTGCCACAGCTCCTAACATGAGCTCTCTTATCCCCGCTGCTGCAATGGTTACAGCAGGTCCCAGCACTGGAAGGCACATTTTTTTGGTAGCATGCCAGAAGTTTCCTGAAGAATGAAAGCAGGGAAAAAAAGAACTAGTTCATTTTAACAGTTTATAACTCCTTCAAAGCTGAATCTAATTTAGTGGAACATAAAAAGGCACTTTGTTCCCCGATGGTGCTTCGCCTACCAAATGTCAACAGTCTATTGCAAACAATCGAAGTTTTAAGAGCTCCTTAGTGAAAGGTCACAATTTTTGTATGGGAAATGCTAGGCCATCTAAATACAAGGGTCAACACCGAGTGTCCTCATAATAATTTTTTTTAATTATGTATATGCAGGCATGTTTGTATTTTTCAAAAGACACAGGGACTGGCCAAATAAAACAAGTCCCATGCTTAAGTCATCCATGAGGACTAACTCTCTAATCTCCAACCTTGAAGACATGAATCACTGAGCTCACAGACTTGACTGGCTCACTCAATGATTACCAAGAACTTCTACTTAGAACTCTGCACAGCCTCTGGAGAAGGTATTGCAGGACTCCCTGTCTCCAGTGTTGCCCACCATGATTTAGAAAGCTTACTATGTGACCAAGAGGCCAGCATTCCTTACATCAGGTCGTGCAAGACACCACCTCCATGAGCTGCTCACACACACACCATGTGATGGGAAGATACACACATACATGCTATTCCAGTCATGCCACGGCAAACGAGCTACAGAATCTTGTTTTATCCTACTGGTTTCTTCCCTGGAATGAACTTGACTAGCTTTCAGTTATTTTTCATATAGCAAGTAAATGAGAATCAGACCCTCTACAATGGTAGCAGGGAGTGTTGGAAGTAACAGCTTTTAAGAGGCATAAAGATACAGACAGGAGTTATGACCAGAAACTAATCTTCTTGCTTGAATACAATCTATCTTATCATAGATGCAAAGGCATTGTGCAAGGAAAGAGATGCATGCTGTGTGTTTCTTTTCACACAGATGTCATGAAGGCAACAGATTTTTCCAGCTGAGGCCACAGCTACATTAAACATAATAAATTTGAGAGATCTGGCACCAGACAGCTTTTGTCTTCCAAGGCACTGACAATTTGGTAGGGCCCCTCCTATATGCTCTGTTCCAGCTGGCCCTGACTCCTGTGCCTGTCTAGAGCTTTCAAAATCAGCTCCAAAATGTGCCAGACAAATAAGTTAATCCTAAAGATGCAAACAACAGGGACTACAAGGCAAATTCTCTAGAAATGATGGAACAACAAAAGATAATGTGAGACATCATGTGACAACCTTATCCCTACAAGAGAACTCTGTATGTCCAAGCAGTTTCCCCAGCCCTACAAAATTCACTAAGACATGAATCCAATGAGCTAACTAAACTTCAAAGGTGTCAAACAGTCCATTCTTAAAGATGGTCAACATTCAAAATAGCCAAGAAACCAACATCCTGTGCAGGAAACCATGAGATACATGAGCAAGAGCATTTTCTAAGCAGGATAGATCCATGCTACAGAGGGAGTCCTTTCCCTAGGTCCCAGTTCCATGGGATATACCTTCAGCTGAGCACAACTGGCTCCATCACAGGGTGTATTAGTCAGTGCTTAGTTATGGCAGCATGGGGTCTGCCAGAAGTACACTGTCAGCACACCAACTTCCTCACCCAAAGCTGAGTCACATCTCTTCAAGCAATGGGGCCAACCATGTCAGCTGAGCTACACCACTGTGCTTTGCTGACAGATGGAAGATGGAAGCATCAAGGATTTATAAACCAAAGCACTACCACAGCTTACCAAGTGAATAGATAATGAACAAACACCAAGCAGCCCTTAGCAGGGTTGAGATGCTGCCCAACAAAATATACATTTTCTGAGAAATCACACTTTAACAGGAAGCCACACAAAGAGTGCAGATTTCTAACAGGATTTACAGACCACAGCCATCAGAGGAAAAAAAAAAAAGCCAACAACAAAACAAAACATGATGATGAACACAGTTTCTCAGTCATTTGTTGCTCTCTAAATCCCAAACA